ATCTTCAGTCAGTTAAAAATACAAAACAATGGAAACTAATACAGATGGTGAAAGTCAGAAAGAGATAACATTAAGGAAGTAAGATAACCATATAGGCAAAAATAGCTGGGTCTGAGAAAGGAAGAGGGAAGTATAAATAGTTGTTTTTTAAGGAAATGGCTAGCCAGGAAGTATAGGAAAGCAGGAAACCATGCCAAATAAGATAAGAAGAGAGACACAATGAATAGAAAAGCAGGAAAAGAGCTTATTGTGGAGACATAAATATATTAAGTTTAAAATAACCATTTAAAAATATATTTTTCTTATTCTTATTGTATATGTGAATATGATTTAGTATGTTATCAGGAAATGTGTATAGGCGGACGGAAAGAGTGTAACCTCATACTACCTCAGCCAATGGGGAAAGAGGAGGGCTGTAGCGGCCGGTGATAGGGATGAATAAAAGAAGGAATTATTTTGGGTTAAAACTTTGAAGAGAACCAAGCTTAGAAAGCTTCTCTTCCGCTTATTGCAATAAACAAAACAAAAAGGCCTTCACTGTGTCTTGGCTGGTTATTGGTCAGGCGAGCTTGCCTCTGGTCACGAAGGAAAGTAGCCAGGAGCACATAACACCCCTGGGGTGGATTAATCACAATATCCCAGAACTCCTTAGCCATTCCATTTTTGCAGCCCAAATAAGATAATTCTTTTATCCCAATCGAAGCAGAGAACTCTCCTTTAAATCAGCCATCCTGCAAGCCTTCAGCTGAGCAGCCTTTTTCTTTCTTAATTCAGGCAGTCCTTCAGCTTAATTAAGCTCCGTGTTGAACCTTAATCTTTTTCTTCAGACTGAACTGTGTGCAGGGGCTGGCTGGGACATAATCTGTTAAGAGTTGTACAGTTTTCCAGCACAAAAATAAGTCCAAAAAATAAGCACACATTCAAAATGAGCAGGAGGCATGGTTTAGAAAAACTTTATAAAATATATGATACATGATACATACAGTCAGTGCTTTTTTTCTAAAAAAAAAAAAAAGGTGCTGGAACTCACACACATCATACAACCCACCTTGCCTACCCTACAAGGTTCCATCCAAAAAAGGTGCCGGAACTCCGTTCTGGGCATTCTATGAGAAAAAAAGCCCTGCATACAGTTTCATTCAGCTTTGGGGAACATCAACAACCCTGAACTTGGAGTTCAGAAAAAAAAAAACAGAGAAGACTAAGACACGCCCAGACCTAGACTGGATCACATGCCTCACACAGCCAATACTGTGTCTTAATCAAAAACAGTTCTCATTGGCTGGTTTGTTGCTATGGCTACTCCAGTTCATAAAATTTCTTACACAGTGACATTTTCCTGAAGGTAGTGACAAAAAGCAATGGATGAAAACTAATTAAGGAGAGAACCAACCTGTCAGTGAGAATAATTAACCAGTGGAACTGTTTCCAGCACAGAAAAAAGTGACACATTAAGCACTTGTTGATCTGACAAAAACATTTTTGCTTCCACTCAAATTTGGTTTTTTTCATTATGCAGTACATAAAGTCCAACTATTATAGATTTAACTCCTTGGATTTTCACTTCCACAGCTACTAATCTATCTTGATCATCTTTCAACAAGGACATGGCTTCAATTGTGATTTAATATATAAAACAACTCCATTAGTCTTTTTAAAATTTGCTGATGTAAATTCTTCCCCTAAAGATTTGTTAATTCAATATTTTATATCTCTCTTTTGTTTATCAGTCTATTGCAAGCATGTCACTTCCAAATTTCACAAATAATGACATTTTTCCTTTTCTTTCTCTTAAGACTCTTTTAAGTCTTAAACAGAATTTTTTTTTCTGAGCTCCGAAAGGGCCATATTTCTCAACTCTCTTTCTAATTCTACATTTCTCATTTCAATTTTGGTTTCCAAAGAGTCCATTCTGTCATTAGTTTGGTTTATATATCCAATAATCCTGTCGATCTTGGAATCCAATTTCTTTTTTTCTTTCAAATCTAGCATCCTAGATTCAATAACTTTTGCAACAAATTATGAATTCTTCAAAAATTACTTTAATATAAAATTTTCCATATGGTATCTTTGGTTTCTCTTTGGGATTATTATAAAAGCAATAAGAAACAAGAAAACCTTTTCTTAAAATTATTTTTTAAAAAGAGACAAAGCTTTATTTGCCAATAAAAATAAGACAAGAACTCCCTCTCTTGACCAAAAGCTAAATTATAGCTGCTCAATAATGACAACCTATGTAAATTTCAAAAAGAAATGCAAAAAGCAGCAAATTACATTTATCTTCCTTAGCCACTCTGCATATTGAAAAATAAAAGAATAACTTTCACAGAGAATAAATAAAAGAAAGGAAGCTAAGCTTAGAATTTCAAATGTAGATTCTCCAACCATCCAAAAAAAAAATATTTTTCAAATTTATCAATCCACACAACTTCAATCCCCAATTAAATAGTCCCTGAACATTCACATTTCTTTTCTAATTATTACCACAATTCTATCTTCCTTGCCAAAGTCATAACAAAAATAGTTTCCAAACTATTGATTTATTCCAAGAAGAAAAATTAACTCTGTGCTAAAAAAAAGCCTCTGTCAGACATAACATAAAACTAAACAAAAAAGAGAAATGCTTAGAAATTAGAGTTTTGGCCCTATAGTCCTTTATGGGGTTATGCCCCAGCTGGAGGACAAGATGGTTACTCTACTTCTCAGCTGTTCACTCCACAAGGGATCACAAACACAGCTTCAGTGATCTTTCCAAAAGCTCCAGCTGTCCAGGGATGTATGGGGTGATTCCTGGAATTTGCCCTCAATCTTCAGGGAACTTTTCAGGATTTAGGTAGCTTTCCCTACCTGAAAACCAAATGGGGAATTAATTCCATTCAGCTCCACAATTAAAGTTTTTTTTCACCAGCATAAATCTTCACCACTTTTAGCTAACCTTCAGATCTTGTTAATCAAGTGCTCATGTCCACTGCTTTAACAGTTCTCTTGGAAAGAGATCAATAAATGTTTGATGTAACGATTACATAGAAACAAGCTGCTCTCCATTGTTCAGCCATTTTAATTTGTGAAATTTAGTCAGGGAACAAAGAACAAAAAGTATGTTTTCATCTATATCTCAATCCAAGGTTATAGAAAAATTCAGTAGAAATAAACTCCAAGTATTTTACAAATTCAAAAAATACCAGAATCCAGTGGTGAGAGTCTGATAGCAATTCACCACTGGGCTTTCCATACAAAAGAGCCAGAGGTTATCCAGAACAACATAACTGTATATCAAAAAGCAGGCTCGGGACGTTGCATTGGTCCCGGGCAATTCCAAAAGCTGCCCGGGACCAGACAGAGTGGAGCCAGCCTTGTGCGCATGCGCAAGGCGTTTGCTGCCCAGGACCAGACAGAGCGGCACCAGCCTTGTGCGCATGCGCAAGGCGTGGAAACGCTCTGTTATTTTTGTTTTGTTATTGTCCGGGTCTCTGGCCACTTAAAAAGGCCTGCGTGCTTTTGCCTGTTCATTCGGTTGTAGTAGAAGACTAAAGAGCTGTTTAACATAGCCATGTGTTTTCATCATTCGCATGCCAACGAAGGATTTAACAAAGTCCAGCAAGGGGTTGAAATAAATCAGCATTCAACTGCTAATCAATTCTTAAAGCAAAAACATAAAATCAAAAAGGGAAAGTTAATACTCAGTCATGCTTAGAAAATGAAACTACTTGACAGGAAATTGTATACACCAAGTAGCTTTTCGATCACTTCCAGAGAGAATTGGAATCTTCAAGACCCCCCCCCCCCCTTCCCTACTGGGTCCATGATCCTCCAAAAGTTGTCTTGGGTCATTCCTAAGTGCTCCTATCTGAAACCAGGAAACAACACTGCCAAAGAACCAGCTTTAGCAGTGAAAAAAGAAACTCTTACTATGCAGCAGCTATCTTGAGAGGAAGTGAATGGCTGAACAATGTCTGAAACCTAAAAAAGGAAGGTGTGGAAATATGCAGCTTTTAGATGGACTTCTCTTTAAAAAGCTTGAACAAACTATAATGATTGTCCAAAAAATGTTAGCATCTGAAGCTTTATTTTTGAATAAAGATATACAGAAGGACTTTCGTCCAGTTCCAGATCAAAGTGATAATCTCAAAGCTGGAGAAAAGGCAAAGTGGTTTTCATCTGTTGTTCTGAAATTTAAGTCTGTATATTTCTTTAACATCATGGCTTTGACTGGAAGGGAGAGAGATAAATTCCTTTCCTCTATGAAGATGGAGGGAGACTGAATGGATTTATTACAGTTAACTGACAACTGCTTCTGCTTGCACTTTGATCAGAAGATAGATCTACTCTGGAGACTAAGTCTGCTATATTTAATCAAACAACAATTGATAAGAGATGGTATTAAAAAACAAACATGGATATTTGACCCAGGACAATCTATTTATAACTTTTGTGATGATTTGGGATAGATTAGATGCTGTGGTAAATTTTCTACAAGTGGATTACAATAACAGCTTGTTAACAGAGAGTTTTGAAACTGTAATTTTGTTCTGTTTCACTATCATTGTTCTTCCTATTAACTGCTTTGTCATTAATATAACATATAGAAGACAGGCCAATAAGTTGCAAATAGTTTTAGTAGCTTAAAATTTTTGGAAGGGCCTGTTTTGCAAGAGGTGGGAACTAATGTTGAAGTAATATATTAATCAATATTCAGCTAGATTGGTATGTGTATAATGTGATTTTTCTTTGATGCATCCTTTTTTAAAGCTTTGATTGGTTTGTGTTTTATTGGGTTTTTTTTGTCTTCTTAGATTTTGTTTTGTTTTGTATTTTGTATTTTAACTTTGTTTTGAATAAAATAAATATATATATTTAAAAAAGAAATAAGCTGCTTATTTTTGTTAATCTAACAATTGTGGGAATATCTTCAAAAGAAATAATATGTGTGATAATGGTGATGTTTTGCTATTACAAATGAATTTTAAATTTGACCTCTTGTCTTTACCTTTTCATTTCAGGACTTATTTTTTCACATGGTGAGAACTGGAAAGTGATGCGACGGTTCACATTATCCACATTACGGGACTATGGAATGGGTAGGAGGACCATTGAAGACAAAATCATTGAAGAGTGTAGTGTCTTGACAAAAACAATTAAGACTTATGCAGGTGGGTTTTCATTTCCTCCTAATGCTTTACCGAATAACTTTCAGGACAAACATAGAGTATGAAATAATAATACTTTGAGAGACAGGGCAACTAGAAATATGGGTAGGGAAAGAGGCTCAAAAAAAGTCTTTCTTAGCTTTTGGGACTGCAAAAGTGATGGATGGAGAGAAGCACTTTCAGACTTGCAAAATTCTGTTAATGTAACTTACAATAAAATAGAATTAACTCATCTGGTCATGTTTCCTGTCTGGTCTATCTAGTAACCTGACAGGATATCAAAATCCTTTCTGGTAATGTCCATAGTAGAAATAGTTTCTTATTCCAAATTCTTGAATAGCTAATTTTGTATAATCTAACAATATCTTATAAATGAAAGTTCTAGCCTTAATAATTTATATAATTAAGGGAGGCGTACTAGCGTAAAATGCTACATATAAAGATAGAAGCATGTTGTGAACTGGAATTGTTGCTCCTTCCTGCTTTGGATCAAGGATAATAATGTTTCAGTTTCTCAAAAAACATAAACATCTAGGTATATATTTCATACCCTATTGAATTCTCCCACAAAAGTACTGTGTTTTAATTGTAAATATTGAATTCCCCTGTATGATAACTGCAGCTCAGTTATAAGGATCAAATTGGAATTGGTGCATTTATTTATTTATTTATTTACCAAATAGATATATTTGACTGCTCAATGCACGCACAGTGACTCTTGGTGATGTACAACATCCTTCACCATTCATCATCATACCTAACTGGTAGCTAATACAAAGGGAAAAAGCATTCCATATTTTCCAAATTATTGATCCTTGAAGCCCCCTCCTCCAGGATTATAAAATGTATTGGATGGGCCTGGCACACAATATGAGAGCTGCAATAATTGGCATGACCATGGGATAGCAGCAAAGAGTTAACCATTGGCATGTATGTTTAAACTTTTGCAACCCAGATAGCAGTATATTTACATTCAACAATCTAAGAAATTTTAGATGCAATAAAATATTATCTCTGAGTACTGAATGTTTAAATGGAAAATCAGTTGTTAAAACAAGTATTATCAGAAACAAAAATGTAATTATTACCAGAACATTCGTTTTTATCATAAAAATTCCCTCAAACAGTTCAGTTTTCAATTTTTCCATTTTCCCATTTTAAAATAACTCATATTTGTCTTACTAATACCTGAATATTACTTAAAATCAGTTTTCTCCCTCATTTGATTTGATCTTCTGATTTTCTTTGGGTTTTTTGTCAGCATTTTACTATTCTGGCTTTTAATCTTGAGACCTACTAATAAACCAAAGTCCTTTAATTTTCCCAATCTCAAATCTCTCTAGTGAGATTTCTAGAATTAATACCAAGTCATCCACATTCTTTTTTAATCTTCATTCCGATAATTTTCTGTTTTTGTCTTATGTCTCTGTTCAAATGCTCTTTTATCTTCATTTGGGCTATACATTCTCAATATCAAAGTCTTACCTACCTGTAGATTAATTTTCACCCCAACATTAGCCACCCAGGAATGACATGAATGAACACGTGGCTGAGTTAAAAGTCATAAAGACCCTGACCACTTTGAATTTGAGGAATTCAGGTTCAAACTGTTACCAAAGACTATTCCCTAGGCATCTTCACAAGTTGACGTAAGAGCAAATCTGAGGTATTTTATTTGCAAATTCCTCTGCTCAGCCCTGAACAGGGACATCAGGCTTTCCCCCATCCAATCAATCCTGTTATCCATGATTAAACTAAATTTGAGGGAGGCTTTATCACAAACTGACCAGACATTTAATAGCAGCAGCCAAAAGCAGGGCATCTGTAAGTCTGCTGCTCAGGAAATAGGGCTGAGTTTAGGGAGCTCCAATAAAAGTAGAGTTATAATGGCATAAGATGATTGGATAGAATTTTCCAAGAGCATCCTATCTCCTTTCTCCCATCTTACCTCCTCATATCTGTAACCACTGAGATATATTAACCATCCCTAATCCCCCCCAAGTCCCAACATCCCCCAACCCAGACTTTCTAGTTCTCCAAATAAGGGATTCCTGCCCAGAATCACTTTGAAATGAAATAGGTGGCAAATAAATTTAATAAAAAATAAAATCCCCACATCTTTCAACCAAATACATACAACTGAAGGGACAGGAGTAATCTAGGTCTCTGGTCACTTAAACGCCCATCAGTGACACAAACACTACCCTTTATCTGTCAGCCACCCATGCACCAGCCACTCCACCAGGATATTACATCTATATTACATAAAGTTCCCATTATTGCCTCCTGGTTTTTACCCAGAAGGAATCAGTGCCTTACACAGGAAGAGTCATCCTTTGCCCACAACACAACCTTATCAACAGTAACTAGGCCAACCAGATGATAAAATTCAGACAAAATCTGGCAGAAGCACAGCATGGTCATCACACCATCCTTTCTGCACACCCAGTGATGAAGAAGACAAGATGGTTCCTACAAAATGATCCACAGCAAGAACATGCCCTCCGGGGCTACTAATCTTCCCCAGTTCATTCACCCAAGATCATCCTGCTCTGATTCCTCAAAAAGAGAAGCAAAAGCTCTCAATTCAAGAAGGGAGGGAAACGGTGGCAAAAGGAACTCTGCCACCAGTCCTCGGCATAATCTGTGTAGGTGTCATGCTACTACCAGCAGGAGGCCAAATGTTGCTAGCTTGTGACTGTGTACCACCACTGCCTAACAAATAACTTCCCCCACCACCCCAGGAGAAACCCCCCTAACCTTTGACCAACAACAACAAGCAAAACACTCCTATTGTTACTGCTGCTGTCACCAAAAAAACTCAGAACTATCACTAAGAACCTAGTCTCTACTACCACCCATCCAGTTGCCAGCTGCATTGCTACCACAAAATAGAAAAGGAGCAGTAAGCATAATCCTCCAGAGTGATCCTGGTGCAGCTCCCACCAGTGATGGCAATCAGCAGAAGCAAATACAGGACCAATACAGCTCTCTCTAGTCATGGCCAACAGCCTGAAAGGGAATCTGAGTCCTGAAGTCCAGCTCATTGGGTCAAGGTCTCACTCAGGGTAAACTGGCACATCACCAGAGTGTGCCAAACACAACCAGGTAGACTCCAAAGACTCCACCAAAATACCATGCCTCTTGTGCCAACCTCCAACATATTAAAAATCCCACACAATGCAACCCAGCATTTCTCATCCAATATCCCACAATAATCCAAACTGAAATATTTCTGAAACCTGACAGTCATTTGCTGTTTAAAAATGCAATGAGGATATATCCAGAGTTTACCCTGAAAGACTTCCCCATTTGCAAAGAAATCCTTACTGATATATGAACAATAATAATACAATTGTACCTCTGTGACAATCAGTTTCCATTCAAGTAGTTGTTCATGTTCTTTAATCTAAATACCTCCTATTTTATCAGCACTGACTGCAGTTTCTATGATATGCTCCCTTTATGTAAGCTGATTTTGACTCTAAATTCATTGGCATTCATTCACAATTCTGTTTTGATCTATTGTTTGTTACCCAGGGAAACCATTTGAGATCACAACAATTATGACTGCTGCTGTTTCCAATATCATTGTTTCTATTCTACTTGGGAAGCGCTATGACTATGAAGATGCTACATTTCTACGACTTATGGATATAATCAGTGAAAATATACGGCTTTCAGGGAGCCCAAATATATCAGTAATCTAATATTTCATTTGAAGAAAAATGCATGAAGTATAAGTAAATGTGTGTCATTTGTGCTTTGTTGCTAAGCAAAGCATATTGCTTGTCATAGCAGGATTGTGTTCAAATGATAAAATAAACATGATATCATGATTCAAATTTTATATAGTTCTATTGAAATATCTGATATAAGTATACAAATCACTTTTGTTGCTGTGACATCACTTACTGTCCCTTGTTTCTATAAGCAAAAGTCCATGTTCCTTGTGAATGTACTCATATTGTAGGGTTGGCAGCCTTCTATTGGAAATGCCACTTCAATCTCTTCCTTGTCTCACACACAAACACATTTTACTTCACAATTCTAGAAGTACTAAATAGTTTCCTTGACTTGAACTTGCATCAATTTCTTAGATTAATCATTCTCATTGCTTCTTTGAGAATCAACAGAAGGTGAGCATGAGGAACTCATTCACAAGTATTTTGGAAAATGAGCACTTCTTCTCCCAATAATTGTATAGAGATTTAGTCCATTGGATTTGGGCCTTAGTGAATTTGAAATATTGACTATGTATAGCTTCCTTAATCATGTGCTTTTGCTTATTATTGTAGTTTATTTTGGTACATTATTTTCATTAAAATGCTTTCAGATGTCTGACAATTATATTCAGAGTATTCAATGTACTTAATATGTTTTCCTTCATCATTCTTTCAGCTATATAACATGTTTCCCACACTGGGCTTCCTTTTGGGTTTTCATAAAAAAGTAATGAATAACAGAAAGGAGTTCCATGATTTCATACAGTCTACCTTCATAGAATATCTCAAAAAACTTGATGAAAATGACCAGAGGAGTTTTATTGATTCATTTCTTATTCGACAAAGAGAGGTAATGGATTATTTTATATATGCCTTGAAGTACAAGCTATTTTTAACTTTTTATATATATATGACTACTTGTAAATTACATGTGGTTGGTGAAAATTTTTGCTTTAGAAATGTGTGTGTGTCAATGGGAGAGGGAACCAAATTTCTTGCCCTTTCTAATCATTCCTTCTTGATTATTTGTTTCAGAGCCTGCAGTCATTTCAATTACAGTCAGTTTACTATGTAGTTGTTGTTGTTTGCATTAAAAAGATCATCAATTATATAGCCTATTCTGATCAAGCCTTCAGTGGACCAATCAATTTATTTTTTTGTATAACAATTTTATTGTGTATAATCAGGTAACAGACAAGTGGAGGATTTTTAATGAAATTAATGAAATCTTTAGGAATTTTATCTCACTGACTGGACATTCATCTGAAAGAATGGTGTGTTCAATTCTGGCACCTTATTTTCAAAAGGCTAATGATAAGCTAGAGAAAGATTTCAAAGGAGGACAGCAAAGACATTCAGGAATGTGAAGACATACCCTATGAGAATAGGATGAAGGAACTTGGGATGTTCAATTTGGAGAGAGAAAGATTTAACAGAGATATGATAGCTGCATTCAGGCATATTAGGAGAAGTTACACAGAAGGTAGATGAGAGCTATTTTTCAAAGCTAGGAGTAGAACCCCTTTATGGATTACTGCCTTGTCGTGGCGAAGGGGCTTGCGTAACTCAATGAAGCTATGAGCTATGCCGTGCAGGGCCACCCAGGGCGGACAGGTTATAGCAGAGAGTTCTGACAAAATGTGATCCACTGGAGAAGGAAATGGCAAACCACTCCAGTATCTTTGCCATGAAAACCCCATGGACAGTACTAAAAGGAAAAAAGATATGACGCTGGAAGATGAGCCCCTCAGGTCGGAAGGTGTCCAATATGCTACTGGGGAAGAGCAGAGGGCTAGTACTAGTAGCGCCAGAAAGAATGAAGCGACTGGGCCAAAGCCGAAAGGACGCTCAGCTGTGGATATATCTGGTGGTGAAAGGAAAGTCCGATGCTGTAAAGATTTTTTCTCCATAGGAACCTGGAATGTAAGATCCATGAATCAAGGCAAGCTAGACGTAGTCAAAAAAGAGATGACAAGACTGAACATCGACATCTTAGGAATCAGCGAACTAAAATGGACAGGAATGGGTGAATTTAACTCAGATGACCATCAGGTATACTACTGTGGGCAAGAATCCCTCAGAAGAAATGGAGTAGCCTTCATAGTCAATAAAAGAATAGGAAAAGCAATACTGGGATACAATCCCCAAAATGACAGAATGATCTCAATTCGAATCCAAGGCAAACCATTCAATATCACAGTAGTCCAAATCTACGCCCCAACCACTGGTGCTGAAGAGGATGAAATTGACCGGTTCTATGAAGCCCTACAGCACCTTATAGAATTAACACCAAAAAATGATGTCCTTATCATCATGGGGGATTGGAATGCTAAGGTAGGAAGCCAAAAGATAACCGGAATAACAGGCAAGTTTGGCCTTGGAGTACAAAATGAAGCAGGGCACAGGCTAATAGAATTTTGTCAAGAGAATACGATGGTCATAACAAACACTCTTTTCCAACAACCCAAGAGACGGCTCTACACATGGACATCACCAGACGGTCAACATAGAAATCAGATTGACTATGTGCTCTGCAGCCAAAGATGGAGAAGCTCTATACAGTCAGTAAAAACAAGACCAGGAGCTGACTGTGGCTCAGATCATGAGCTTCTCGTTGCAAAATTTAGGCTTAAATTGAAAAAAGTAGGGAAAAGCACTAGGCCACTCAGGTATGAACTAAATCATATTCCTGATGAATATACAGTAGAGGTGACAAATAGATTTAAGGAACTGGATCTGATAGACAGAGTGCCTGAAGAACTATGGATGGAAGTTCGCAACATTGTACAAGAGGTAGCAACTAAAACCATCCCAAAGAAAAAGAAATGCAAGAAAGCAAAATGGCTGTCTGAGGAAGCTTTGCAAATAGCTGAGGAAAGAAGGGAAGCGAAAGGCAAAGGAGAAAGAGAAAGATACACCCAATTGAATGCAGAATTCCAGAGAGTAGCTAGAAGAGATAAGAATGCCTTCTTAAATGAACAGTGCAAAGAAATAGAAGAAAACAACAGAATAGGGAGGACCAGAGATCTCTTCAAGAAAATTGGAGATATGAAGGGAACGTTTCATGCAAAGATGGGCATGATAAAGGACCAAAATGGCAGAGACCTAACAGAGGCAGAAGAGATTAAGAAGAGATGGCAAAACTACACAGAAGAACTATACAAGAATGAGCTTAACATCCCAGATAACCACAGTGAGATGGTCATTGACCTCGAACCAGACATCTTAGAATGTGAAGTGAAATGGGCCTTAGAAAATCTGAGCAACAACAAAGCTAGTGGAGGTGACAGTATTCCAGCTGAGCTATTCAAAATCTTAAAAGACGATGCAGTAAAAGTGCTACACTCAATTTGCCAGCAAATTTGGAAAACTCAACAGTGGCCACAGGATTGGAAAAGGTCAGTTTACATTCCAATTCCAAAGAAAGGCAATGCCAAAGAATGTTCAAACTATCGCACCATTGCACTCATTTCACATGCTAGTAAAGTTATGCTTAAAATCCTACAAGCTAGACTCCAGCAGTATGTGGATCAAGAACTACCAGAAGTACAGGCAGGATTTCGAAGAGGCAGAGGAACTAGAGATCAAATTGCCAACATACGCTGGATCATGGAGAAAGCTAGGGAGTTCCAGAAAAACATCTACTTCTGCTTCATTGACTATGCAAAAGCCTTTGATTGTGTGGATCACAACAAATTGTGGCAAGTTCTTAAAGAGATGGGAGTACCAGACCATCTCATTTGTCTCTTGAGAAACCTATATGCGGGTCAAGAAGCAACAGTGAGAACCGAACACGGAACCACTGATTGGTTCAAAATTGGAAAAGGAGTCCGGCAAGGCTGTATACTGTCGCCCTGCCTATTTAACTTATATGCAGAGCACATCATGAGAAAGGCAGGGCTAGATGAATCAAAAGTTGGAATTAAGATTGCCGGGAGAAATATCAACAACCTAAGATATGCAGATGATACCACTCTAATGGCAGAAAGTGAAGAGGAACTAAAGAGCCTCTTGATGCGGGTGAAGAAGGAGAGTGCAAAAGTTGGCTTGAAACTCAACATTAAGAAAACCAAAATCATGGCATCCGGCCCTCTCAATTCCTGGCAAATAGATGGGGAAGAAATGGAGGTAGTGACAGATTTTATTTTTCTGGGCTCCAAGATCACCTCAGATGGGGACTGCAGCCAAGAAATTAAAAGACGCTTGCTCCTGGGGAGGAAAGCTATGGCAAATCTAGACAGCATACTAAAAAGCAGAGACATCACCCTGCCAACAAAAGTGCGTATAGTCCAGGCCATGGTTTTCCCAGTTGCAATGTATGGCTGTGAAAGTTGGACCATAAGAAAGGCTGAGCGCAAAAGAATTGAGGCCTTTGAACTATGGTGCTGGAGAAGACTCCTGCGAGTCCCTTGGACTGCAAGGCGTTCAAACCGGTCAGTCCTAGAAGAGATCAACCCCGACTGCTCTTTAGAAGGCCAGATCCTGAAGTTGAAACTCAAGTACTTTGGCCACCTAATGAGAAGGAAGGACTCACTGGAGAAGGGCCTAATGCTGGGAAAGATTGAGGGCAATAGAAGAAGGGGACGACAGAGAATGAGATGGCTGGATGGAGTCACTGAAGCAGTAGGTGTGAATTTGAATGGACTCCAGAAGATGGTAGAGGACAGGAAGACCTGGAGGAACGTTGTCCATGGGGTCGCGATGGGTCGGACACGACTTCGCAAGTAACAACAACAACAAGGAGTAGAAACCTCCGGTATAAGTTGAACCTATCTAAATATTGGAAAAGATGGTGGGATCTGTACAATAGTGGAATGATCTATGCATCTTGTGAGTTCTCTGTCTTTGGAGATTTTTTTAGAGACTGAAGTGACCTTTCACTTTTCCTGCATGCTACAAAAATTAGAAATAAAATACATTAGAGTCCTGGTCAGATAGAAGTGACAGATATGCATGATATTCTTTGTTAGGTTATCTCTTTAAGATGGGATAGAGGAATGTCTTCTGATATTCCTTGGAAAGAGACCAAGAAAGGAACATGTTGCTTAGGAACTTCAGAGTTGTCTCCTCATGGATGCATACACTGCTGAAGCAGGATGCTTGTAAAAAGCTCCCACAGGACTGTGGAGGGAAGCAGTCCAACCTGGCCAAGGTGAAGGATTGTGGAGAGAGAGGATGATAGCACATGCCCATGTGAGAAAAAAAAAATCTATGCATTGTGGGGTTGGATACTAAACTTAGATTGGCTTGGAAATCAGTACCCCAAATACATTGCCCTGTCTGATCACTGGAAAAGAAAAACTCTGATTTTCTGTTTCATCTCTCTCCTATTGTCATTAATTGTCTCAATCTTCATAAATGGCACATGTCTGAAATAAACAGATCTTTTTCTATACATGTACTCAGCAAAGGAATGGGCGGTTTCAAAATATGATGTATAAATAAACAAAATAAAGTAACTGCAGTTGCCATTTCTTAAGTCTCTTATGTTGCAAATCACTATCAGTGTATATAATAAATAGAAAGTTTGAGTATAAATATAATGATCATAATGATCATAATCATAACAATTTAAACAAATCAATACAGTAACGCATTTTCTTTCTTTTCTTTTTTAGTACAGAAAATTAAAATATAAACTCCAAAGGGAGGAGATTTTACAGGAACAATGCAAAATTAAATGAAGACATTAAAAATGTGAATTAAAAAGACAATCCCCCCCCAAAAAGACATATTATCCCCCCTAGCTGAGCACTGACAAATATATTGCAACAATAATAGCTTTCTCCCACTGCAAGTCATGTCCAAGATTTATAAACTTCTAGTTCTACTTGCAACAAATTTGACCTG